AGTTTGGGGTGAATTCTATTGCTTGTACAGCATGTAAAAGCCGTGCATACCGGATCACATGGCGTCGGATGTCAGCAAGACCAATTTAAATTGCACAACGCCATGATTTTCGGACCAAAGGACATGTCAACGACTCGCCATGGAGGAGATAAAGTCGGAAAGACGAATGAGGCATCATTAACTGCTGATCTGAGTGATGCCACACTCATCACTCGTGGGGAGAAAGTTCCATCACGTTACATTATAGGCGTTGGATTTATCGTACATCCAACTGTCGTCCATCTTGTCGAGGATTCTATCACTTCCTTGGCTATCTTTTCTTCATCCTCTCCATCACAAAATCACCAATCATCAACTGTTAATCTCCAACGTCAGCAGCTGATGACTCGGAACTAGGTGCTTTTGATGAGTATTTTGGAAGAAGTCATCCACAAAGATCTATAAATTTGTCGTGGGTGACCTCAATGCAAAAATCGGGATGCTAGAAGAAAGGAAGCACATGTTTGGAAGATTTAGATTAGGACTCCGGAATGAGAATGCTGACCATGTTGCGGTGGACATGGGAGTCACCCAACAGTACAACTCATGCGGAGATCAACAACATTCTCATCAACCGAAGATGGTGCTCACTGGACGTCTCAGTGGTACCATCCTTCAGCAGCGGTTCAGACCATTGTCTCCTTCTAGCAGTAGTGCGGTTGAAGACATTAACTGCTAACTGCTCTGCAACAATCAGCTTTTCCATCGTCGCCTTAGCATATCATTTTCAAGGTGGGTTCGACAAGGCGTCACGGGTCGCCAAAGCCCCACCTTGCAGTGGACAATCGAGTCACTGGATTGAACGACAGAGGTGTACGAGTTGATAGGACATTTCACTCGAACCTCGTCCTGTGGACGACACTGTTCTCTCTTCGAAGAATATCAGTGAAGCGAAGACGATGTTGAAAAAGTAGCGAAGTAGAGAAGCAAAATCAGAAGACTCAGTTCATGAAGAACGCTTTTTGAAGGATCAGGAAGTGGAATTGGAAGGCTCTCTAATCGCGGACATCTTCTTATGTATATCTCGGACGTTTCATGGACAGAGAGAACGAAAGAATCTGGAAAAGGAACTAAACAGAAGACAAAGAGCTGCTTGGGCCGCATTTGGGCCGTTGAAGGAAGCCACAGACCAGCTACGGGACACACAGCTCTGAGCCTACCTGTTTCGATTTAACTGTTCTTTCTGCGCCCTGTGACGCAACATAGGCGTGGCCTGACACAGTGGCTACGTAGGCTCTTCGAACAACACAAAGCACTGATACGTCTTTTGAAGTACAATCGACGCACTCAACATCTCGCCGGACTTTGCAGTTCAGATATGAGATCAATGTCTCATCTTCGCAATCCAGCAGAATACGTCTCTGAATCAAAACATTGATGGACTGGCCAAATAAGGAAAAGGACAGACGAGATGGGCACTAAGAATTCTGCAGTGGATTCGTCGCAAAGCAAAACGTCCTCGAGGGAGGCCCACCAGATGGGCTGACATATTCGCTACACGGATAGACCGTGAATATTCAACTGATAACGAGTGATGGATCTGAACCTCGCCATCGTCGCTGCCGCATTTTATCTAACTCCATAAATGACGCTAACGAAAGACAGAAACGGATGGACACAATGCAGGGGCCTGCACGACCAGTAAAGACAGGCCATCTGAGTATTCAAGCTAATGCATTAAACCTGGCGTTCCAAATGTGGATATAATTTCTTTCAACCTAATATCAAATTAAAATGGAG